CATCAACGCGGTTGATATCCTTGTCTATAATTTCCATAGACCGCTGGCAATTTTTCGGATAAAATTAAAAATATATTTGGGGTATTCATCAGCATAGGCATGATTTTTGTAGTTCTGTAAACCACTACTCAAATTTCATGTATAGACATTAAAAACGAGTGGCCCTAATATTGAGCCTTGGGGTACTCCACACGGAATAGTAACATAAATCGATTTTATTGGTTAAATTTCGAGTGTTTGTTGCAGTTAAGAACTTCACTTTCTGCATCGCAATGAGGGAATTGATCAAAACACTGTGATTTATTTGAGTTGCCTCAGGATCTGTTTCAAACAGCCCAACTTACTAATTGTATTTAATAAAGGCAAAATCAGTAAAAAATGAGTGTGCCGAAGACTCAGATTCTTCCATCTCTGCTAAAGTTATAATTTGGTTTACTAGCTTGGTCTTTTGATTATTTGTTTGTTTGTTTGTTCGATTTATTAATTTCTTAAATGATTTTAAAACGATCTATCATCCGTATGAGCAGTAATAAACCATACGGCAAATCCTTGCGGCTTGCGTTTCAAATCAAATAATTTAGCAGGTTTTTTGAAGTAGAATTTGTATGTTTAACTTGCAGCCCGAGCAACTAGCATACTTCCAACGAACATTAATAAGATAGTATGAACATTTCGACTCAGAAAGTTTTTCATAGTTCTATACTTTTCCTTCAACTATTACTCCCAAGCCCCCGGAGTAGGGTAGATTGACTGATTATATGCATCAGTTTTTATAACGTTCTTTGACGTCTTCAGGTGTCTCTCCTTCCATTCATGTTCATCATAATCATCCTCCTTCTCCGATGTTTCTATTTATAGCTTCTCTTCAGCTCAGCCTAGGTCTTCCTCGTTTTCTTGTTCCTTAAGAGGTCCATTTACGTACTTGTTTTGGCAATGTTCTCCTCCATTCAATGGATATTTGAATGCTTTCCGATAATTTCTGCTTCACTTCCATAGTTTCGCGGGTTCTATCCTTTCTAATACGTCTAATAATCTACTTCTGTAGCTTCTGTGACATGAGTCGCGTTCTTCATAGGTAACAGTGCTCTTAAATATACTAGCAAGAATAAATTGCGTTTATTTTCATTGGGCATTGTTCTATTCCATTGTGTGTAATTAATTTGTCTAACTGTTTGCCTTCTTTAAGTATTATACTTCATCCATACATACATTATATATATATATATATATATATATATATATATATATATATATATATATATATATATATATATATATATATATATATATATATATATACTCCATTCATATCATATACATGGTTTATTTTCTCCCAGAAGATAAGGAATTTGAAAAAACAAACGACATCTGTTAAGCAAGCGCCATTTTAAAAAGATGCGAAAATTATTGCAATATTCCCGAATATTCAAAAATAATCGCCAATACTTTCCTAAAATACGAAACTTAACGACGCGAATAACGCACGTCCTATATATATAGGAACGGAAGGGACACTTCGGACAGAAAAAAGGTTGAAAAGGTTTGCCCTTCCGTAACCTTTTCGTAAAAGATCGATAACCGCCAGTCTCGGGTTTGTAAGAGACCAAAATGTCTCACTTCCTTGTACATAAGCGGCGTAAAAGATAAGTCAGGAGAACGCGAGAGATCTTCCGCAGCCGCTTAATGATCTCTAATTACCTACCGAACTTGCGACGTAGACTACGGGCGTCACTCGATATCCCGAGATCTTGAAATTACTTTCGTCGTGTATCCTCGTCGAGTTTCGACGAAATAAGAATGGAAAAGCTTTGAGTTATTCACCTAGTTTGCTCCAAATTCGGCTTCCCGCTATATACTTTAACATACGCCGAATTGTTCTTGATGTTCACTTGATACTTCCAAATTCGCTCGTTTGTACTCATTTAAACGTTTTAATGTTAAAAGTATGATAGGGGAAAATTATCAATGTTTTAATATGTAGATGTGAACCATTTCAGGTTTTTATTAAGTATGTTATAACTACCGTTTAATGAGATACGAGGTTAGCGCCATAATTTCCCGGCCTGACATAGATGCAGCTCCAGTATCACGATAAAACTTTGTCTTCTTTTTAATATATATCTTAGTAAGCTGCGAAAAAAATGAAGTCTTGCGTCAAATAATTTTTTATTGACAGCATTTTAAACAAGACGTGTCCGAAAAAATGTCGGAAATAACTCAAATTGAGTATAGAGCAGTCATAAAGTTTTTGACGAATGGGGCAGGAGTCACTTGAAAATGATTCAAGAACTGGTCCACCAGTGGAAGTCATAACGGAAGATATTATTGCGATTGTGGAAGAGGTGGTATTGAGTGATCGACGTTTAAAGGTCAAGGAAATCTCAGAAATTACTAAGCTTTGTGATACAAGTGTTCGTCGAATCCTGAATGATCATTTAGGAATGCATAAAGTTAGTGCAAGATGGGTTCCTAAAAACATTTCGGCTATTCAAAAACAAGGCCGTGTGGAGTGTGCGCGGTCTTTTTTGAACTCTGTGGGTCGGAACCGAAGCTTGTGATATAAACTATTGTGACGGAAAAAAGAATCAATGGAGTGGCGTCGTAAGGGTGAAGCACTTCCAAGAAAATTCAGAATCTGCTAGTCAACAAAAAAGGTGATAGCCACGATCATTTGGAATTGTGAAGAAATTCTTTTGATAGATTCTAAAGAAACTAATACCACTGTCAATGGTAAATATTACGCAACATTATTACATAAATTGCCATACTACATACGTGTAAAACGTCGAGGAAAACTGACCAGAGGCGTGCGTTTTTTGCACGATAATGCACTTGTCCATACTGCTGGTGTTGCACAAGCGCCATTTTATAGTGTGGGTCCCAACACATAGGATCCTCTCTATAGTTCAGATATGGCTCCCAGCGACTAATATTTGTTTAGATATTTGAAAAAGGATTTATGTGGACTGCGGTTTAACGAGGAAATTGAGTTAAAAGAGGGTGCTTTAGCTCATTTTGCAGACAAACCAAAAGAATATTTTTTTAAAGGGACTGAGTTATTAATAAAGAGATGTAATAACTGTATTGGAGTTAAGGGGGATTATATTGAAAAATAATAAAAAAATATTACTCTACTTTGGTTCTTTCATATTCAGGCCGGGAAATTTTGGCGCTGCCTTCATATATAGCTATGCTATTTCATTCATTTATCAAGTGCACCAGTTTATAATAAACTACGTTATCCACATATATTACCAACCCCACACCTTACACCATACAACTCTCAAACTCTGAAAAAAGTAGACCTCCACTGTTTCAGGTTTTTATTAAGTTCAACGTTTTATGAGAAACTCCGTAGTCCCTAACAACACACCAAGCACAGTCTGATATCCAGTGGTTCCTTAGAGATAAAAAAACATACATCTATGCTATTTCGTTCATTTATTGAATGCCCCATTTTATAACCAACTAGGTTGTCCACAGATGTTAGAATCTCCACACTTGACATCATGTGTCATATGCGCAAACTATCAACGTCTGAAAAAATAGATCTGGGCTGTTTCATATTTTTATTAAGTTCAACCAACGTTTTATAACAAATTCCGGAGTCCCCAACAACACACCAAGCACAGTCTGCTATCCAGGGGTTCCTTAGAGATGCCTTTTACTACACTAAACCATGTAATCAAATAGAGCACAGAACATATCATACAAATACCACACCTGACACCATGACACCTCCACTGTTATAAAGAAAAGTAGATCTATGCTATTTCGTTCTTTTATTAAGTGGACCATTTTATAACCAACTAAGTTGTCCACAGATGTTAGAAACCCCACACCTGACACCATGTGTGATATGGGCAAACTATCAACGTGTTAAAAAAAATAGATTTCTGCTATTTCAGCCTTTTATCAAGTTTTAGAACAAACTACGTAGTTCATAACACGCCAAGTATAGCATACCATCTAAGGGCTCTACACCATAGAGCTTCTGCAATAACAACAACAATGATCAATAATTCTAAATAATCTTCACTTTTTATGAAATTAGTTATTTTAGCATGTACCACCTGATGATATTCTGGACTAAATTCCATTTATATGTGATAATATAAAGTCATCGAGGACTGGCGTATTCTTCATGTCTGATAATTTTCTTTTTATGTTTTTTCTTTTCTTTTTCCAGTTTTTTTTTGGTTCTCAAAATTTAAAAAAAAAATGCCTGCAAAGCTGAAATTTGGTATAGTATTTAGTTGTAAAAGTAGATTATAGTTTAACTAATAGGATCCTGAGGAAGTATTCAGTATGTATGGTCTTTTTTTCACCTGCGGAGTTACTCTGTATTGGACGTATCTTAAACATTGTATTTGTATTTTATGACAATAAATGCTATATAATAAATTAATAATAATAATAATAATAATAATAATAATAATAATAATAATAATAATAATAAATTACCCAACCGTTGATCAAGTTGGCAAAGTGAAATGAATCTTTTACTGTGTGACATAAAATACTTTTGTTTCTTAGCCACGTCATTTTTTTGTGTAAATTTTAGGGCGGTATTGTTTAGTGTGTGTGATACATATACTTTTTCAAAATGGCAAGTTCATTTAAAATATTAAATAAAAAATGCAGGTCCACATTTAAAAAAATTAAGTTGATGATGCACGCACAAAACAAAAACGTTATTTTTAAAACCTAATAATGCGAGCTTGCAGGGGAGAAAATAAGTTGTTTTTATTTAGTTTTTTAAATTAAGATCAGGAAAAAATTCAAAAGGAATTGCTGATATTCGATTTTCCTTGATATCCCCGGAAGTAATCGGAATTTTATCCATTTAGAGATGGTCTTAAATTAATCATCAAAATGCGCAACTTTTCCCCTCTGTTTAACCGACCTTGTATCTCTTACAATTTTCCAATAGTGACGTTCGCTCGAATTCACTTAAAGACGATCGGGAGCAAAATGACAAAGCGTCTCGTTGTTTTCAGGAAAATTGCCAAAACTACATAAGGATATTAGCCAAGAGCGCTGCCGGCCGATTGCTGCTCTGCGGCACGAACGCCTTCAAACCCCTGTGCCGCGAATACAACATACTCGACAAGAATTACACCGTGGAAAAGGAAAAACCGGGTCAAGCCGTGTGTCCCTACGACCCGCATCATAACTCAACCGCGATTTACGTCGGTAAGTGTGTCTGTGTGCGAACGCGCGTGTGTGTCGGTCTTTAATACATGATTTATTTCGCCTTAATATCTTGTTTCCCCTTTGTTTTGTCGACACTACAAAGTGGTGGCAGTAGCGGCTTCTAAAAGCCGGGCCATCTTGCAAGAGTGGGGGAAATTCACTTCCCCAAAGAGAGGTCTTTGCTCCTACAGCGAAGGCTTCAAATTTACAATCGGTCAATTGGTTTGAATGTCGTTTTTCGCCAGTAAATCCAAGACGATTAAATTATTTAGATTTTTTTTAAGACGGCCAAAATAAGGACGCTTATTATAAACCTTTTGGATTCCTCCTGCTTGACTGAAACTGAAAAAGCCAACAGGATAATTGGCGAAACGTGACAAGTTCGAGTCAACAAAAACCGACGCAGGAGGAATCCAGAAGTTTTATAAAAAAAGTATTACAGTAATTTCCTTGCAAAATTAAGTTAAGGATATATGACATGTCTCAATTGCCTTTCGTTATCCCACAAATCCGCCTTTTCTTATGGCCACCATATTGAATTTTTGGAATGTGCCAAAAATTTCCAGTTTAATGATGTCTCACAAGTGAGCAAATCGTTTAATCTGACTTCTTAAAATAAGCACTTTTAAAAGGAGGCTCTGATTTATTTGTCAAGGAAAGATGGTCCTATAGACGTCTACCAACTAGATTTGGAATCAACGTTTACTACCTATTCTAACCGAAGTCGAATTTACAAAAACCTGGTTTCCACTGGATGAATGTCCAGATAATAACACTATTGAAGTCCATATGGCCTCCTAGATCGGCCGACCTTTTGCCCCTGGATTTCTCCTCTAGTGTCACACGAAGAATGAGGTAAAGTGAACGCTCTATATAAGCAATTTCGATAAAAAAGGTTCCTGTTGTTAAAAGTTGCTTATAGAGGAAAAAAAAAGTATAAAAATATTTTTACTTATTTCTTTTACTAACTAAACTGTGTAGAATTCACTTTATTTTGCAAGAGAAAACATTATAGATAGATTATAATTATATGTATTTTTTTAAATTAAACAAATTTTAATAAATCTATGATTTAGTACAGCACTAATTGGCAAAACAAACAAAAGCAATTACATAGTCTTGATCATATTAGCTTCTTGCCTAATTCTTTCTATCAATAACAACAACAGGGTAAGTCATTTTCTTTTGCCCATTCTATCACCAAATTAAAATAATTTTTAACCTCACTGATGTTTTTATTGGACGTTTTCTATTTTCTATTTCACTTTTTACTTCAGGATTTTCTTTAATATTGAATGGACGACTTGTCTCGCTTCTTCCACTTGCGCACTCCATAGTGTTCCCTCCTGTAAATTACAATAATTGAAAATCGAATCACTTAACAAAGAGAGATTTTTAAATGGTTTTGCATAACTGACACGCCTGCACAACTAAATAAACAACATCTTCTGTTCTGCACCTAAGGCTACAAGATATCGCAGTAGGTATATCGCATATCTAAAGTTTGCCTAGCATTTTTCGACTGCTAAATCCATATTTTTGAAGCAGCCAGTAGATTTAGATTTTCCTACCATTATCAAATCTAATTTCTGCGTACCTGTAGCGTTGACGCATTGCACCATTGTTACTTTGTCGTTCATTGTTTATCTTACAGCAGCGGGTTTTTCAAAATTTGCAACGTTAGTTTTATTGGGCAAGCTTTTATAGACGAGACCCGTTTCGTCGCAATTACATATATATATATATATATATATATATATATATATATATATATATATATATATATATATATATATATATATATATATATATATATATATATATATATATATATATATATATATATATATATATATATATATATATATATATATATATATATATATATATATATATATATATATATATATATATATATATATATATAAAATTTTAAAATTAATTTTAACTGGCTTCACATTGCAAGACAAACTCTCTCCATAAACAGACAAAATCCTTATGCCGCGGCGTTTTTTAAATTTCATTAACCATCCATCACTTGCTACATACAAATGCATCAGATCCACTATTTAATGTATTTACTTCGAATGCGTTTAATTTTATCATTTCACCAAGAACCAAGAAAACACTGTTTCATCGATTCACATACATTTTGGATGCGTATTCTAGATATTCGTTACAAATGTCCTTTGTTTTCTTAACATTTTCAATGTCCTTTAAAGTGGATAGTTTATCTTTTCACGGAACTGAATGTCTTCTTTTTCTCTTCTAATTCAGATTTCATGGTTGGACTTAAAGCACCAAAATACTAATTAATCAATTGGTTAATAAGCAGAAACTAACAGCATTCAAGTGACTATTCTATTTAACAAAAATTATGTTCAATACTGACAGCAGAAAACACAAACATATTCCAATAACAGAATTTTTTGTAATGTGAGGTTATGTTGTTGTGAACAGTAGATTTTACTTCTGAATTGGTCTAAACTTAACTCGAATATTCAGACACAAAGAGTTTTGGACACATTTAGAAGAAAATTCCCTGATGCAAATGGACGTCATTTTGCAATTCTGTAAATTAATAACCAGTTAACCAGTTACTAACATAATTAGAGTTATAAATTGTTTATCGCGAATTTCTTTTTCAATTCTTATCGAACGTGTATGTTATAAGTGTTGAGATGTTCTTGTCGCTCATGTTCTATTGAAAATTGAATGCGTTTATGAGTTTTTTTAGGTGTTACTTATTAATGCTGATGTTAAATAAATCATGGCCTACTTATAAAATAATTAAAACATAACTTATAACCTAAATGTGATATCGCAAATTTAATATGGCGGCCATAAGAAAAATGAAAGTTTTCGCCGATAATTTCCAAACCTCCAAGCCTCCTTTTAAATGTGCTAATTTTAAAAAGTGTGATGAAATCATTTGTGCGCTTGCGAGACATCACTGAACTGGGAAGTTTTCGCTCTTTCCAAAAATCGAAAAATTCAATGTAGCGGCCATAAGAAAAGGTGGATTTGCGAGATAACGAAAGGCAATTGAGACATATCATACACCTTTATCTTAGTCGTCTTAAAAAAAAAATCTAAATAATTCAACCGTTTTGGATCTACTGACGAAAAACGACATCCAAACCAATTGACCGATCGTAAATCTGAACACTGTCGTCAAATACAGTAAGTTTCCTTTAAAACTTTCCCGGTTTAACCTTTGCTCCAGGTATGATATGAGCGGAACGTATAGGGAAGCAAATCTGGGACACATTGCATATTAGATATAACAATACGCACAAAGGAATACAGTAGAATTAAGCATCGCATCTAACACTAAAATTTCTTTCTTCGTTAAGGCCGTGTCGGGTCACATAGCTTCACTATTGGACATCAGTCCTTAGATTACAAGTAATTGAAAAGTCCACGATAGTTCACCGAAATCTTTCTCCAAGTCAGGATTCAAAGCGCATTTTGGAAGTCGGGAAGGGTAACTTTTTCAACAATTGTGTTGAGAAAAGTCTTGCAAGTTTTCTTATTAAGCTCGACTTCTTACATTTTCACTGACTGAACTTGATAACAAAAAATAAAGACAAAAAAAAGTTCGCAAATCTCTAATTATTTCTACAGAATCATTGTCTACCACCTTCACCCGAAGATTCTTGAATTTTACTCATCAACGCATACTTGTTTAACACAAAATAACGCGTTTTAACGCGTTATTGTGTGTTAGTGCAGTGCCGAAGGTTCCAGTCAAGAGTTTGCATACTTGTTTAGAAATGCCTGCGGACATATTCGCCATTCTACTTCTTGCCATAAATTTTCTTTGGGGTTCAAGTGCGAAGACTGCACCTGCCAGTCTAAAATTCCAACATTGTTCTGCCCGAACCACTCTTGTACATGATGGGAGGTGTGCTGAAAAATGAATCGTAATATGCATTTTTCATTCTGTTAAGGGTTACATAACGTTTTCCATAATGTCTTCTACCTGTCCAGTATGCCAAAAATAAAGTGTAGAGAATCCACCTCCCAAAAATGAAAAGCAAGGCCCCAAGACTACACTACCCCTATCATACTGTAGGGATTACTTGGTCTTCTAACGTGTTTCATTAAAAACATTATAACGTGTCTTGTCACTACTTTCTCCAGTCAGCAACAGTCCAGTTGAGATGTCATTGTGCTAATGCAAGTTCTTTTTCTAGCTGAAATTAAAGGTTTCTTGACAGATCTACTGCGAAACCATGCATCGTTCACAGAAATGTGTTTCATTAACCTGTATTCATGTGCATTAGTTTTTCTTGGTCTCACTAACTCGGGAATAGTATTTACATTACTTTTTTTATTAAAATATGAGACCATCCGTGCAACTGTGCTGGACACAGCAACTCCTTTTCCCATTTCCTTTCTAAACTGGCGTTAATATAAGGGTAAGTTGCAAATATACTAAGATCATTCTGTACACTGACTTTTTGTTACCTCAACTCCTTGCAAAATTCTTCTAGTTTTGCTTTACTTCGAGATCATATCCGGAAGAAATAGACCAAACCAATAAGACTCTTCTGCCTCCACATCTTGAAATAGCTTCAAAATCCTTCAAAAATTTGAAAAACTCATGTCCACAAAAGTGAAACCACCAAACTCTTTGCAACCTTCTGATATTTTTGATATTTTTTGATTCTAGCGTCTGACTGTATGAACCACGAAATTAATCTGAATACGATGGAGCCCTACGAAATTCGTGGAATAGGTCTGGGCTGGTTCAAATCATTCTTAACCAATCGTAGACAGTATGTTGAATAGCGCTTGGCCCTGTTTTACTTATCCTTTTATTAATGAACTTTCTGCATTGTATGGGTTTTTCAGAGTTCGCAGATGACTGTTTAAGTTTAATTTCCGCACACTGTTGTCAAACTCTTGAAGACAGAACTAATTCAGCACTCGTACAGCTAAATAGCTCTTCTTGAATGTCCAAAAACCAGGTGTAGTGGTATTCAAGTGTCCAC